GGTTTTTCTCTGGCACCCGGGACCCAGGCCTTCGCTCCGGCCGCAGCAGAGAAGCCAAGCCTCTTCAGTTTTCAGTCGTCTTCAGTCTTCAGTCTTCACTTGGGCTGGAGCCTTCAGTCTTCTCCTTGCGCCTGTATATGCACATTAACCCACCATCTTTGTTGGCTTAATTTGCATACTCATCCTGATGGGCTGGTGGGCATAGTGGAGTGATGACCAATTTGCATGTTTCTCTTTTATTAGTGTAGATTCTCTGTACTTTCATATATTTTTTATTCTCAGACCCACCCTGTGAGGTAGGCAGGTTTCAGTTATTCATTCTAATGAGGTCTTTTCTCCATAAATACTGAAGAATGCTTTTGGATGCTAGTTTTCATGTACTTAGAGAATAAATAAAAGTTTTCTAAAATCTGTTTTTCTGACTAACTTTCGTTTCAGAAATTCCATTAAACACTTCTTACACTGAGTGGCCAGATTATTATGACCAGCCAGATTATTATGACCACCCCATCAGTACAATGAAGTGAATTAGTTATGCAAATAATAATAATAATAAAACCTTGAGAGTATTTGCTTAGGAAGTTTTCAATATTCAGTATTTTTGGAAGTGTCAATGAAGTACTGATGGGGTGGTCATAATAATCTGGCCACTCAGTGCATTTGCATAGTCCGTCTGGAACAAGCAACTGGAAATAGAATGGGCATGTTTCTTCAAAAGTGATTTTTGCATTGTGTGACAAATTATGGGCCCAGCGGCGGTAACAGGCCTGGTCCAGGCAGCAATCTTGCGGTTTCCACACTGCTGACACAAGGTAGTGCTTCTGCCTCATCGCCGCCACTGTCCCCACACCGATAAGACCCAGTGACGAAAGGAGTGGGAAGGGTAGGTTTCAGTGTGTTGGGACAATGCTCTAATCAACTGAGCTACCTGCCAGGAGGAAGGGTAAGTTTTGATTCAGGAGGATCTCAAGAGATCAGATGAAGGGAAGGTCATGAGGGAGTTGGCGGGATCAAAGAAGGCTTCCTGGAGGAATTGGCATTTGACAAAGGACAAATGCCAATTCCTCCAGGACAGAAAGGACAGTGATGATGTTCAGGTTAAAAGGAAAGTCTGAACAGAGGCAGAAGCGCATCGTGCTGCCAAGAGGGCTCCCGTTTGAGGAAATGAGGGAGGCTGTGCTCCAGCAGAGCCAAGGCAGAGGACATGGAGGACGTCGGGAGGTGCTGTGGGTCACACCAAGAAATTTGCACTTTGTGGGTAAAGCACCAGACTGTGAGCTGAGGCCTGGGTCCCAACCCAGGGTGTGCTCTGACTAGGCTTCCCTTCCTTGGTCTTGCTCTCTGAAACTTTCTCTAGACCCCAGTGAGGGCCGTGGCAAGTGCTTGTCAGGGAAATACCTAGGAATCACAGCTCACAAAATAATTAAGTGATCAAATCTACCTCCTTCAATTTGTAGGTGAGAAAACAGACCCAGAGAGGGGAAGGAATTTGCCCAGCACTGCATAGCAAGCCAGTGGCAGAGCCAAGACTTGAACCCACGCCTGCAGCCTCTCAGTTTGGGGCTCGTTCCCCTCTGCTGCAATCTGGGATAGCATCTGGGGGACTGAGCTGGAGGAGGACAGCTGGAGGCAAAAGGCCGTCAGGAGGCTATAGTCCGCCTAGATCAGAAATCACAAGGCTGGCCAGTAAGAAATGTTTATTGAGCCCTTCACCCTGATCCCCATCTTGAGTGGCTTTGAGTCCACCGATGAAGCACCTACAAGGACAGAAAAAACTGCAAAGAAAAGGAATATGGTGGGCTTCCCGGAGGAGATAGGAGGTGGATATGGCACTCATGAGAAGGAAGGGGCATTGGGAACAGACTTGGATAAGGATGTAGGAAGGTCTCCAAAAGAAATGGCTTGTCATCTGGGTTCCCTCTGGTTCTTGGTCAAGGTCTCCACCTCCTTCATGAACCGAAGACAGAGTTCCTCTTCCCATGGCAAAGCGATGCACTGCACAGCCACTGGGAGCCCCACGGATCCTTCCACCGCCTGCTCAGAGAGAGTGTCTGTAAATCAGAGCCTGCTTCCTGCCCACAAGCCCCTTGCCCACCCCTCCTCACCTCCCGTAGGTATGCATTAATCCAAATATCTCATCTCCAGTCCAGATTAAGATAGAGATTTCCTGGATCTCAGAGTTCCAGGCTTCCTCAGCTCTCGGTAAAACCTGGAAAAATTGTTCTGACTTTGTCTACAATTCTCCAGAGTAAAACTTGTTCCTTGTGCAAAGAGCTGACTATAACAATGAAATATAAAACCAAGTATCCAGCCAATGTTCTTAGCACAGGAAAGAAGAATGTGCAAGTCCCTGATCCAGAACCTAGTTACGCTTCTGCAGTGAAAGAGGTGCCTTGACTCCAAACACAAGCCCGGGAACATGGGTGCTGAGCCTGAGTGCCTGCCATGAAATCCAAACATAATTGTAGGAATTCAAACATGTTTTCATTGCTTTATGACAGCAATTTTCCATCATACTAGTGTGCAGCAAGAATATTTAAAGCGTGTAATACCTGATTATTTAGTCAGGGGCACTGACCTCTTATCTCTTACTTGGATTGTCAAATAGAAAAATGACAAGAGCCAACACAACAATAGCCATCTGTTGTGAATGCCTGTCTTTGTTTTTTAATCTTCACCTGAGGATATATTATTGATTTTAGAGAGAAAGAGAGAGGGGGGCAGGGAGGAGGAAGAGAGAGAAACATCCATGTAAGATAGAAACATCAATCGGTTGCCTCAGTTGCCTCCTGTACTGCAACCCAGGTATGTGCCCTGACCAGGAATCAAACTGGCCACCTTTTGGTGCACAGGACGATGCTCAACCAACTGAGCCACTATGGCTGCACTCTATATATCACTTTTAAACAGCTCCTGGAACAGAGGAATGAGATAGAAATTGCAGGGTGGGGGGCTCAACCAGGGTGAAAAAGTACTGAACATAGCTTGTAACTTGAGTCAGACCTAGGGGAAAACCAGACTTGAAAAACAAGTCCAAATAAGGGTGACATCTGGGGAAAGAAGGAAGTTGAGCAAAGCCTATCAGGGAGAAGAATAGCCAAATAAAAGTGGCATCTGAGGGAAAAAGGAAGCTGAGCAAAGTCTGTCAGGGAGAAGAATAGCTTTAACAAAACAGCAGGAAATCTGCCTGGCCCTCGCCTGAGGGCGGGCTGTTAGTTTAGTAGCCAACCAATAGAAACAGGACAGATCAGCCAAGGTCGGGAGGGATGATAAAAGGAGGGACTGCCCCTCCGCACTTCGCCCTTCGCCCGGCGATTGCCTGCTGCTGTGTCAGCTACGGCAGGGGCCCAGATTCGAATCTGTAATCAATAAACGCTTGCTTGCTCAAACCATCTATGAGTCGGTAGTCTGTCCATGGGGAACTCCCTCTGTAACAAGGAAGAGCTCAAGACACACTAGATAGTGTCATTATTATTATTTTCTCAGCAGTTCCACTGGGTAATTCTACCACTAAAATCAATTTCCAGCCCTGGCCAGGTAGGTCAGTTGATTAGAGTGTCATCCCAATATACCAAGGTTGCGAGTTCAATCCTGGGTCAGGGCACATTCAGGATCAACCAATGAATGCACGAATGGAACAACATATCAATGTTTCTTTCTCCCCTTCCTCTCTCTTTCTAAAATCAGTAAGTAAAAAATAAAATAATTTCCAGAAAAATAAGTTACTTAATGTCTTACTCAGACACATGCATACTTTTCAAAGTCAGTCTCTCTCTCTCTCTCTCTCTCTCTCTCTCTCTCTCTCTTTCTCTCTTTCACCCAAGTCAGGGTTGTTATTTTAGACCCTGCATTGAATAGGCCCATAGAAACATTTCCTTTTGGTAAGTCACCTCTGAATTAATAATAGTAGCATTTATTGAACACTTCCTACATATAAGACCTTATGCTAATTGCTTCAGTCTTTTTTGATTTAACCTTTAACATAATTCTGCAAAGTAGACTTTTTTATTCCTGTTTTTTTCTCACAAAGAAACTGAGGCCCAGAGAAGGGCGGTATCCAGTTGTTTCACAGTAAGCTCTTACCCAGGGGCCTTTGCCCTGATCCACCCTTCCTGCCTCTGGATTGGACTTTCCTTACAGAGGTGTCGAGCAGACCACTGTTTTTGTAAAATATTCTCCCCTGACAAAGACAGAGGATGACCTGGACATTAAATGGTGTGTCCTCGGGGATGGGGTGACACGTTATCACTTTAGCAGAAGTGATAAAGGCTAAACCCTGGGAATGCCCAGACCCATCCCACCCTGCCCTCACCCATCCACAGGGATGGAGGCAAGACTCAGTACTGGTCTGTGCTCCTGGGGGAGAGGTAAGGAGAGGGACACTGACCTCCTTGAAGTTTCTGTCATTACTATCTCCGTAGTATCCCTTGTAGAAGGCCAGTTCCTCCTCGTCCTGCAGTGTCACGGTGGTGACGGGCACCACGCCAACAGGGAAGTCCAACAGATTGTACAGGCTGTGGTAAGAGCTGCTAGCTGTAGGAAGACTCAGGTTAGCCCAGGAAATCACCAACTCCCAAAGACTCAGGTGAGGAAGAATGTGACATGAGTAAGCACTCCCCCTCGGGTCCTTCTCCGAACTGCATCCCTGTGGGCTTGAAATCGCCCCAGGAATCACCTGACAAACACTCCCCGCTCTTCCCGCAAGGCGTAGGGAAGGAGAATCGCATTGTCCAAGCCTTACTCAGTGCCGGGCACTATGCTGGCCTCTCTTCATTGCTGATTCTCTGAATCCTCTCTACCCCTGAGAAACGGGGATTACTATTCCCTGAGTGCAAATGAAGAAACCCAGGTGCCAGACAGGGGAGATGGCTTTTCACAGGCTGCACAGCTGGTGAGTGGCAGAGATTCCGCCCATGACCTCCGATACACTAGGCTTCAAGATGGCTGGTGTGTGCAGTGCAAACCTGAGTTGAAAAGACTTCTCTATGGCCACAGCCACCTGTGTGCAGGGACGGAGCATCACAGAAGTGGTCGTGATGCCTACAGACAGCAGAGAGCAGAGCACGGTGTGGGTGTGCCTTTGGGCAGCCTCTGTGGGGGACCCAGGGGAGAGGACTCCAGGCTTGAGGTGGGTTTTCATTCTGCATTGACATCACCTCTGACACTGCACCTGTTCTGGGCATGAGACCCAGTGATGCCTCAGACACTGCCCTATGCTGAGGCCTGCATTTCAGGGGGGTTGGGCTACAGACACCTCTAGAAATGGGGCAGCACAAAGCATGCTAAGGGTGAATGCACATGCTCAGCGAAAGAAGCCAGACACAAAAGCCTCCTATTTTATGATTCTGTTTATATGAAATCCTAGAAAAGGCACATCTATAGTGAGAGAAAGCAGATTAAGTGGTTGGGGGGAGGGGTAAGGTTAGGGAAAAATTGCAAAGGGACATGAGAGAAATTTGATCAGTGATGGAACTATTCTATATTTTTATTATGGTGGTGGTGATACCACTTTTGTCAAAATTCATTAATTTGTACTCTGTGAATTTTATTGCATGTATGTTATACAGATGGTCCCCAACTTATGATGGTTTGATTACTTTTTTTTTTACTTTACTTATACATATTCAGCAGAAACCAGCTAAACTAAGCTGATGTTCACCAGGTTAAATGTATTTTCGACTTAGATATTTTCAACTTACAATGGATTTATTGATACATAACCCCATCTTAAGTTGAGGAGCATCTGTGCTTTTTTCATTTTTAAAGCGAATGGAAATTCACTTTAAAAAGTTCATTTTTAAAACAAACGGAAATTGAGAGTGTCTGCTAACAGGTATGATATTTTTTTTAAGGTAATGGAAATGTTCTGGAATAAGATAGTGGTGGTGGTTGCATAATATTCTGATTATACTAAAACTGTTAAATCACACACTTTAAAATGGTGAATTTATGTTACCTAAATTTTATCTCAATTTAAGGGAAAAAATGTTTTTAGGTGAATGAAAACAAAGGTCAAGGTCACATAGGCTGTGGCAGGACTCAGAAGTCCTGGACTCCCTGTCTAACCCCACCAGGACCCAGTGTCCTCTCACCTGATGCTTTGGCAGGATAGCCTATATAGAAGGCAGGGTCCAGAGCTGGCGACAGCAGCACATCCAGGTCCAAGGACCTCCACTTGGCTATGAACTCTTGCTGATATTCCTGCAGCAACAACAGGGGTAGGAGGGATAAGATCAGCAGAGGTCACTGTTTGCAGGACAAGGTCAGGTGCTGCCAGGCTGAGTTGGCTTAAGCACCAGGAAGAATTCCGAAGCCATGAGATGCAGACTGAGATATCTGGGAATGGTCAGGGTCTTACCAGGGACTAAGGTAAAAGGATGGGAAGAGGAGACTCAGACTACAGTGATTTGCGGACAACATATCATCCAGGCCCCAGAGAGATGGACTAGATTAACCTCATAGGTCACTAAGCCTTCCCATCCAGGTGCAGCCAGGCCTCCCCTGCAGGCCAGGACAGAGCTCTGCCCCCTGTCTGGCCACTCGTGTCACCACCAGGCTTCTGCTGCCCCTGATCCAGCAGTTCCTTGAGATCTTGCCTGGCACACATCACCTGCACTGCTGTGTTCAGCTCCCACACTTTCTTGGGTGTCCTGGAGGAATGAGGAAGACATTGGGAAGTCCAAAGGGCAGATTGGGAGGATCTTCTCTTATACAAATGGGGCATGATGCCCAAGTGGCAGGGCCTGGCCTCAGTGCAGGCTGCACATCAGCTGATGGGCTGGGAATAACCCTGTGTCTTGTCCCCTCGCCAAGACACCTTGCCTGTCCAATGTTCCCAAGAGTACACATCCTCTGGTCAATACCCCACTACCACCACCAGCCACAAGGACTCACAAGTGCCCCCC